CATTTCCGTCGTCTCCTGTTTCATGTATTATATACTCCCCTAGTTGTGAACGCCAGAAAACTGCCTTCAGGGCACCTCCTTGCCGTTGGTGAGAATTTTTGCAAAACACGACCATTCTCGAAAGTCCCTCTCTGGCAGGCCCGACCCCCTTCCTGCCTACTATCTTCTTAAATTTTCCCAACCCCCGCCATTTGATAGAGATTTTCCTCCGAATGGCTTTCACTTCCTCCCCTCCTCCCCCCACGCCTAAAAAAGATTGGGTGCACGTGAAAACGGGAAAAACCGGGGTAAGCCACCAACCGAAAATATTTTCTTGAAGGCAAATACAACTCCCTTCTCTTCAGCCGACCGAGTACGACTTCACACGGTGGGAGTTCCCAACGACTTTTCTTTTCTTTTGACTTTTCCCCAACAAGTTTCCTTGGCTACCATACAATTCTTTCTCGTAGTTGGAATTAGTAGTTGATGCAGCAAACTGCCCCAACCCGTCCACGCGACGGTGGTTTTTGAAGAAAAAAATGGAAAATTTCTGGAAAACGTCATGGGAACTTGGAAAAACTTAGGAACATGGTAGATAGGAGGGAAAAGGGGTGTCGTACTAAAACGGAAATTTGTGGGGTGGGGGGTTCATACTGATGCTGCCACTACGCAGAGTATAATGCTGAACCCTGGTTAAAAGACAATCTACAACTGTTTGTTACATAGATGACTTGGGATTTTCGCTATCACTGTCTTAGTTTTCCAAGACCCTATCGCAACATGAGACCCTAGCAATTTGTTCTGAGTTCACGATTAAGGAGCACGACATCAGAAGATGAGTAGGAGGATCACGCCAGCTCACACGAGTTCTAGCAAACTCGCCACGGACGCTATCGGGTGCTGTGCCCATGGAAATCATCAGCCGGAAATATTTCATGTGTGGAGCGCTTTCAAACAGTCTCCTATGTTTTGCTTGATCTCTGTGGAGCTGTTTTTAGCACCTTCACTTGTGTACAGAAATGTGAGAAATTTAGTAAACAAATGCCACCTCGTGTTTATCTAGATCATGGTCTCACCTAAACTGTCAGTGTTCAGTGTGACCAAGTTGCTTCTTCTGTGCTTATAGAAAAAATTTTGTCGATTCTATTGAACTGATTCTTTCGCGAGATATAATTGTCCTTGGAGATTTTTAAATCCAACAAGACTTTCTTGCAGTATTTGCTTGTCACACACCCCGTCATCGGCAAATAGTAGAGCTGATTAGAGAGGGAATTTGGCCCTGTTGTATTTCGACAGTTACGTCTCTCGCATAAATAGCTGAAAGAAAATCGTAAACACCTGCGCCGCTTGATTCCATATGCGATTACTTTCGGTTGTCCAGCAAGCTCCACGGCTTCCTTTATTTTTTTCCTTTCCATTACGTTTCCATACGAGGCGTGTCGCACGTTGAGGATCACCAGAGGGGGGAATCGTTAATTCTTTTGGGAGGTTATAAGCCTTCAAAGAATGCTCCGTGTTTTCGGTTCTTGGCTTTTTTTGGTTTTTCGTGTTTCAAGTGTATTTGAGTGAACTCTATGCATATAGCCACTATCCCTTCCCCCTTCCCGATAGTTTCTTTCTTCGGCAAAAAACTGCGAAATTCTGATGAAAACCTCCCCGAATGTTTCAAATGTTTCAGAATCTCGGGGAACGTCGGAAAAATAGTAGGTAGTATGGGGTATAGGCAGAGGGGATCGCACCAGAGAAGGAGGTTGTGAGGGGAGAGGTCATACCCCGTGCATTGCTGGCAATTCACGCGGCGATAAAGTGAATTACGTTCTGCATTACAAGATTGTAAAATTAGGAAAGCGGGCGGGATATAGAACCCCGAAAATTGCGCTTGAAATCAAATGTGTCGTCGTGAATGCACACGACTGGGCAAGAAAGGTACAGTGGAGTGAGGGAAGGGAGCGAAGCGAATTCCGCCTTCCACATTGTCAGGGGCTGCCTAGGCGGAAGCTGAGTGGTGTTGTCTGCAATTGCTGCTCTTACGCACTCCGTCACGCAGAGTTTGGGTAGGGTACTGTATCCCACCTATCAATCTGAACTTATAATTTTGTCTCTGAATTCACCTCAAGCAAATTCAATTTTAGATGAAACTACTGTTCCTGATTATCGTCATCATCGCTGTTTGTGTACTGAGCGATGACGCATCGGACAAGACCAAACGTAAGTACTTCAGCGCAACCTCGACGTTCCGAGAGGCACATTCCACTCTGGTCGCTTAGACCGAGTCGGGTCTACAATAACGATTTCCTTCTTGACGCGCCCCTCCTCTTCATTTTTTAAAAGGAGGGTCGTACCAGTGAGGAAGATGCGATTGTGCACCTGGCTCTGTCAATGCGGTCAGTATGAAGAGTGCCTTTGAGTTTATTTTCAGCATGTCTATGGCCAGCTAGTCTTGACCAGAATTCGTCTGTGGAGTCACTCTGGCCATTTCACCGACACAGAATGCCACCATTTCTCAAGTGAGTCACAATTCCCACCTTCTACACACAACGACTTCTTTTTGAGACACTCACGTCTCTCTGGCTCATACAAGAGCAGCACATTTGGAATACACGTTGTAGGGTGGAAGAGATATTTAGTAGAAGTACAGCTCGAAGGCACGGTCCGCGATCAGGTATAGAAGTTGAAAATATGGCGTCGGGAGGGTAGTGTGGTCCGCGACGAACAACCTTGTACCGGTTTCGCGGCAAAAAATTGTAAGGGAGGGGCGCTATAGCGCAATATAGGTTCAGTGACGCCTCCTTTTCTCCAGTGACTCCGCCTCCAGACTCCGCCTTCAAAGCCCGCCTTTCAGTGAAAAACGAAGCTGCAGGACGAAAAAGCATGAAAATTGTCACTTGTACCTAGAGTTCTTATGGAGGAAGCAGCTATGCAGATGACAGCGTAGTATTGGGATGGAGTTAACTGGGCACGTAATCGGAATGGGGTTCTATCTAGGGCAGTTGACATGTAGTTCTGCTTTTTTCTTCACTATCGAGTTACTCAGAACCTTGCCGTCTATATGCAAACCCCTAATCCACTATCTATGATGGCAAGTGGTCGCGAGCTTTACCTTCAGGAAACTAGTGAAAGTGCGGAATGTCCCTGCCAAGCCGAACAGCGCCGATATTCAAGAAATGCACTACACTACAACTTTACTTGTTCAACCGCATGCCTCCCCTCCTCTCACAAACAGCACTATGAGCAAGAAGGGGCTAGCAGCAAACCCCGCGATTGCATACAGTGGGTAGTGTTCAGTTAGAAACGTATGCTGGTAAGTTATTATTCAAGTGCTAGAAAACTAAAAATCCACGACGAACACCCGAAGTAAGAACTGGTAGCTTCGTTTTATGCCAGCAAAGGGATATCCTGCCGCCTCTGATTTATTATTCGTCTTCTCGCGCCACCCAATGCTAACATCTAAGAAAAGAAAACAAAAATACGGAGTGAAAATTCCTCTGGCCTCTGAGTTTGGTGGGCGGGACGACTAGGGAGGATATTAGAACTGAGGGTCGCAACGCCCTCGTTACTCTGAAACATTGCGAAAAGGGACACTCTTAGAGACTACAGTCCTAGAGACTGAGACTACTTGTGCAAGGAAACACGCCTACGAACTGGCTGGGTGAGAGGACTGTCTTTAACCCCTCCAGAGTTTAAATAATCTTCGAGTTTTCGGGATGGCAAGAAAATATTTGACTCAGATCGCTGTTTACGCAGTTTCATTTTAATATTTGCTTGTGAGCTGAGAATCATGAAAAAATAAAAAGTAAATGGATTCAAAATTTTCCGGGAAATGAAGCCTTTCTTTATTGGAGCGCCCTGCCTTTCCACCGACTTCGTGAGCAGCGGCACCAATGAGTAAAAGTCAATGATGGCCTGACCCCCTCCTCCGGTCAAAGCAAATTGTAACTTCCACCAGGTTCATCTTGTTTAGGCACGTCGGTTGGATGGCACGCTGGGAATACTATGCAATTATTCGTAACCCGTTTACGACCATGAATGATAAACTGAAGAAGGTTCACAAATGGGCAAAGAAGCAGGGTCCCAAAAAAGCAGGGTCCCGATGTGGAGGTGAGTTTTGCTAGAAAATGAATAAGTGGTTGTATAAGAATCGAGTTGATGTGTGATTTGGGACATGATTTTGGGAAGTTTCAGAAAGGCGTGGACATATACTTCGACAATATCAAAAAATACTGGAGTGATGTTCAACAAAAACACAACAAAGGTACTCGAGGAACTACCGAAAGTCTATCCCAAGGTAGTTTTTTTGTCAAGCAACATTAAGAATTCTGGGGATTTTTCGGAGCTGTTGAATGGCTCGCATTTTCCCAGTCTTAGACGATGAGATAAGATTTGCAGGAAAGGTGAACCTCACTTTGACTCACACTCCTATGACCTGCTGAGACGGAGATAATGACGCGTGCGGGAGCCACTTCGCTTTTATCCAGGTCGATGTCTTCTTTCCAAGGCGGTAAAAATAGGATGGTGAAACCAAGGGGTGGCTCGCCCACACAATCTGCGCGGACTGTGCCTTTCAACAGCAGGTCGTAACTCTTTGGCGCTAGCACCCTCATGGAACTTGGTTGCAGGGGTGATTTGCGGGTGTGATCAGAGTGTAATCCAGCAATGCTACGAGTCAAAAAACCTCGGAAGGGAGCTGTGCTCGATCCTGTGTTATTATCCTCCCAGACGAATCTGGTTCCAATTGACTGTCCCTAGAGGATAGAAGTCTTGGATGGCTTCGGAGGGAGCTCACCCGGGACTTGATCTTAGGGCGTGGTAAGTAAGCTCCATATCCCCAAGATGGAAAGGGCGTGGCCACGTACTTCATATGACAACAGCGTAAAATGCGTTTTCCGCGGAATATTCCCAGAACGACTGCCATCCTGTCTATTACTAGGCAAAGACATGAGTGCAAAAATCTCAAAACGAAAAGATCCTAAAAGAAGCCCAGCCGCTGCAAGGTTTGAAAGATGTACGCAGCCGCGCCCACTCCATCTGTGAGATTTGGGGTGTAAGCATGCTGTTTGCCTCTACATCAGCTCCACCCAGATTTCATAAAATGGATTTTTCTCAACTGATCGATTGTTTCTTACAGGTGTACGAAATACTATCCAACCTGGATTACACATACCAAGATATGTACAACAAAATTCGCGATTTACATATTGACAAAGCTACTTATTATTCATTGCATGCCGTTGTGTTCATGGTCGTTCACACCGTTGGAAGCCATGGTCCATATCTCGCGGATACTGAGATGTTCCTTGAGAGTAAGCTCATTTTTCAAATGCTGTTCCTTGCGGTTGTCGAGGGAGAGCTAGCGCTACAATCGTCGGGCCACCAGGACCACGCTGAGGATCCCCAAAGTTTCGTCGTACCTTTGGGATCCTCAGCGAGAGGGCTCGTATTTGGTCGTTCTAGGGACGAGGCCCCTATTTGTCTTTGTGGAAGATGTTTTCGGTTGTTGGATTCTCGGTTTTCCCGCTTCACGGTCATGCCTCCCCCTTTACTTGGTGGCAACTTCTGGGGAAAATTGAAGAATTTTGGAAAACAAGGCTCCGGAAAATTATTGGGAAGTTGGACTATTCAGGAAGATAGTAGGTAGGATGGGGGATGGGTTGTGGTGGGGGAAGGAGTGGGGAATTTGCATCAGATGAGGAACTTTCAAGAGCTGGTCGTACTTTGGAAAGTTTTCCTACCAGGTCAGGACAAAGCCTAGTGGGGTTAGCGCAGTGGTTTGAGGCCCATGACGCCTTGTCTGATAACCGAGACTAAGTCAGTCGATCCTTGCTCTAAGGACTCGTCAAAGGTAGTGGGCACGATGGCGGTTGGCAGTAACCACCCCACCCCGACCTACATCGCACCCACTACCTTTAAGTCAAAGAAAGTGGGATATGGGGGTAGTAGTGCTGAAGCGGGGTAGGGGGCTCAAAGTGGGGATGTCAAGATGCCAAGAAAGTCAGTGGTGGAGAGCAAAACAGAAACATTGTCGTCAGTGCTCCAAATAATACCCCCTCCCTTCTCCTAGTGCATCTGTACGAGCAGGGGTGAGCAAAAGGTGTGCATGGGTGAGATCACGGGACAGCGGTTCTGTGGTCGGTATCGTCGCAGCAGTT